TCGTGTCCGACTCTTCGTGACCCCATGGACCGTAGTACGCCAGGCCCTCCTGTCTTCCACTGTTTCCCGGAGTTGAGTCAAATTCATGTTGGTCCCTTCGATGACCCTGTCCAAACATCTCGTCCTCTGTCGTCCCCTTCTCCTCTTGCCGTCACAGCTAGAGTGGGGAACTTTCAGTCCTGGGGTCAGACTAGGCTCCTCAAACACCTCAGTCTGGTCCCCTACAAATCCCCAAACGGTCATCTCTCCTTTGTTCTTTGGTAATGTCTCAGCCTTTGTAGAGATCATTTTTTCCCCATGCTGAAATTAGATGTACCTCAGGGGTTTTGGCCTCTGACTGTGGAGCCAGAGGTTAGGCGTTTGATATCCCCAGTGGGCCTCCTTGACAAGGACTGGATCCGTGATCCATAGGGTCTCTTTCCACCTCTGCCGTTCTAAGATTAATTACTGTAATACCTCTGACGGCTTCATTATGGGTCGAAACAGCTTTATGCAGATATTCTTGGCCAAATCCCTGTTGTTTTGGCTCCACCCACAACCAAAATATGCCCTCCCCAACATATTTGAAACGGAATTGAGATTTTAAGCTAAAAATTCTTTCCTTGCCCTTGCTTTATGAGATCAGACCCAGGCGGCGAACGGAGACAGACGGTAACATGGCACCGTTCGCTCTTCTCTGCTATCCCGAGTCCTTACTGGATGATGATCCTTCTGACTAGGGAAAGAGACCCCGACTCTTCCCGTTTTTCTTTCTCTCTGGCCCACAAATCCCTCAGGTGGCCCACAGGACTATGCCTCTACAAAAGCCTGGGCTTGTTCATTTGAATGCGAGGCCGGCCCTGCCCTGACGCACGAGCACCGAGACGGATCAGCTGTACGCCTTCCGTCTAGAAGGTCTTGATAAAATGCGGATGTTTGCCATTAAGTGGCACAATAAACGTGAAAAAATGAACCTTCGTGAAGAGAAATAGCCCATAAGGCCACACTGCCTGGCTTCTCAGGCACACATTTCAACGGCCTATGCCTGCCGATCCATCAGTTCACATTCTGCAAACAGTTTTCTTGAGTCTGATGGCAGCTGCTGCTGCATGTGGCATTAAGCAAGACCGACAGAGCACGCGGTCTTCGTGTCCGCTCGCCTGCAAGCCCTGGAGGATCCCCCTGCAGGGGTTTTTAGCCAGGGGTCTCCCCTGAGAATCTGGGGTCACCCCCAGCCCATTCCATGCCTCAATCTATCCCATGAGCTGCACTTGGCGTTCTCTGCTGAAACCCGCAGAAAATATTACAGGATGTAGAACGCCTGCAAAACATACCTGTATGAAGTCCTCAGAGGCATGAATCTCTTTCTCTGTTTTCAGAGGTGTGGGCAGAGTCTTGGCTGCAGTTTAACCACTGCGCCATGAGGCTTCCTGCACCATATTAAATCCAGAGTCTTATATGCACATTCTCGTGATGGGAGTGGAAAGAATGAAACGAGATAGCAGAATATGACAACTGTGCTATTGACACAGATCGTAAACCTCCAAATGGCTAGCTAACATAAAGATCCAGGCATCAAAGTTTTATGCTTGCTCATTAAATGGTTTCAAATAGGCCTCCATCTCCTTACTTGTTCAACCCAGCAGGCCCCCTGGAGTTCCCAATAAGTAGCGAGTCAACACATGTGTGAATCCAGTTGATTCAATAAGTCTACTCTAGCCAGGATTGCCGATTGGATTCAAGGCATAGGCTTTTCTAGATTTTATTTGATAAGCAACAGAATCCAATTTTTGCCTATTAATACTGTATTTTTCTGTGTATAAGACACCCCCATGTATAAGACACCCCCCTAGTTTTCTAACCCAAAAGTAAGTGGGGCTTAGCAAGTGTAGGGGGGGAAAGGATCAAAGCAAGATCACTTTGATCCTTGCTTCCTCCTCCACTTGTTTTTCTCTCTCTCTCTCCCCAGCTTACTTCCGTGTATAAGACGACCCTCAATTTTATTCTAATTTTTTTAGACAAAAGTATAGTCTTATACATGGAAAAATATGGCAATTCAGTATATATTTGGAGGATATGTCCAATGAAGACAGAGCTTTATTAGATGTCATGTAAACTTGATCAATCTCAATCTTAAACTCCTGGAGCTGGACTGAGTAGAACACCCTGATGGTGGGAAACGATGCCGTGTTCCAGAAATGTCACTGAAAAAAGCAAAGCGTTTAAACATCCCAGAGGTTAGTTCTTTGACTGGACCAGTGGGCAAACCTAGCTCTGGGACCTCTTGGGAATGCCAGAGCCCTGCTGGGGATACTTCCAAAATTCCTTTCGCCTTTACACGAGCTCTCCCCACATGGCCCCTTGAGCCATGGCGCAGGGAATCAGGCAGGGGTCTGCCGGTCTCTGCTTGTTGCCTGCAAGACAGATGTTATTCTTTTAATTAAGGGCACTGGTGGTAATAAAATCCCCATAGAGCCCATGAAGGATTCATAGCCTTAAGCTGAACTTGGGTTTACAGGGGAGAGTGTGCAACGCAGTCAAGTGGAACTGATGTTAAATCAAGTCGAGAGACATATGGACTCGGTTAAAGACTGGTCCCCATCGTCTCCTCACACCATACTTCTGCCTTGGGTTAATTACTCATCACTCGGCCTTAACAACATATTTTCCCCCAGCTGCTGCCGCCTTTGAGGCTGTTTCTCTAGGATCAGGGTGAGAATGGATGCAGTGAGAATCCAGATCCTGGGTTCTCCAGATATGTCCCCAGCAGTTTATTACCCTTATATCTTTCTGACCATGAAATTCATCCAGAACTTTCCTTTCTCTTCCTTATGTTTCCCTCCCTTAAATGTTGACAGTTGGATTATAAGAACTTCTGGGTGTTTCCTAAGTAAGTCCACAAAACACATGGACGATTCTGTATGAATATTATTTCTTCATTTTATTTTATTTTATTTTATTTGGATCTTTATTTTTTATTTTTTTTAATAATCTCTAACATACAAAAAACCATAAAACACTAACAAAATAAGGAAAATAGGAAAAAGACAAAAACAAGAGAAAAAAACAGACTACATACAAAAATGGAACTTCTAACATTCTACTTTTTAAAAAAATATAGTTTTAACATACCTAATTAGATCTCATTTAAAGTAACAATTTTCAACAATAAACGTGGAATTTGTTTTGTCCAATTTACTTGTTTCTATTGCAGAATTTGTGGTTGTTATCAACTACTTTTTAAATTTATAAACTGCCCTAAGTGTACTGCAGTTGGGCATATAGAAACATTTTAATCTAACAATACACGTAGGGCAGTTTATAAATTTAAAAAGCAGTTGATAAAATCACAAATTCTGCAATAGAAACAAGTAAATTGGACAAAACAAAATCCAAGTGGATGGTTGAAAATTGTTGCTTTAAATGAGATTTAATTAGGTACGTTTAAACTATATATATTTTTAAAAGTGGAATGTTAGAAGTTTGATTTTTGTTTGCTAGCTCCTGGAATCCTTTAGTGAGGATGACTACCACCTGGGAAGTTACAGCTTGAGGATTCTGATAGCCTGGGGGAAAAAGTCTTTCTTGAGCTCAGAAGCTAGTGTACACCAAATAATGCAAACTGTTTTTGCAGCAATATCAGGAGATGCAGCATGAAATCAGATAAACCCCTATCAACAAGTCAATAAAGTCAGACCTAGGAAAGTACAGTGGCGCCTCGCTTAATGGGCACTCCGTTTAGCGACGAAATCGCTTAGCGATGACTTTTTTGGAGCGTTTTTGCGCTTCGTTTAGCGATGGTCCCTATGGGCAATTTTCGCTTAGTGATGGTTGGGACCATGCTTCGCATAGCGATTCAATTTTGGGTCCCCTGTTTCGCTTAACTATGGTTTAAATAGCCTCATGTTTTCTGTTTTTTTAAATGTTTTTCTGTTATTTATAAAGTTAGAGTTTACTGTTTAAAATGTTTGAAATCATAAAGTGCACTTAATAAACCCTTTGTTAACCAAATTTGACTTTGTTCTGACTCTTTTTTAATTTGTTGTTGTATTTTCCCCCCATTGAGATGCATTGAATAGGTTTCAATGCATTTCAATTGGGGAACCGCGTTTCGCTTAGCGATCTTTCATATGGCGATTTTCGCTTAAGGACGGCAATTCGTTCCTATTGGAACAGATTATCCATTTTTCAATGCATTTCAATGGAAAACCGTGTTTCGCTTAGCGATGAAATCGCTTAGCAGCGATTTTTTTCGGAACCAATTAACATTGCTAAGTGAGGCACCACTGTATAGACACCAATTGGCCATTTAATTTACAAACCTTGGAGGTAAAACAGGCCTTAATTTGTGGCCTGGATGCAAAATGTGTTGATACCTTTTGAACGTTTCTCGGAAGGAGAGGCATGATGTGTTCTCCATCATCTCAGGGTGCAGGACATATAATAATGGGCTGAAGTTACAGGAAGCCAGATTTAAGCTAAATATCAAGAAAAACTTCCTAACTGTTAGAGCAGTACGATGGTGGAACTGATGACGTTGGGAGGTGGCGAGCATTCCAATGCTGGAGGCACTCAAGAGAAAACTGGGCAACCCTCTGGCAGATGTGTTTTGATTTGGATTCTTGCCTTGAGCAAGGATTTGGACTCAGTGGCCTTCTGGGCACCTGGCAATTATTCAATTAATTCTATGATTCTAAGGTGCACTGTCTGAGAAATTCCAGGAAAGATGGAAGGCTTTTCTAACCGTGTGTGTGTGTGTGTGTGTGTGTGTGTCTAACACAAACTTTTCCAAATAAGTAACTTTTTCAGGCTCTGCTTTAAAATGTGATTGCTGCTGGAATTTGGGCAGAAAGCCTTCAAACTTGGATGTGTGTGTTCAATTTAAAAAAAATACAGCAACGGCAGCTCCTCTCCGCTTCTTTCCAGCAGCCGGAGCAACAGGTGTGAGCGATACCTATCTATATATGTATATCTCTCTATATATTTCTGTCTGTTTCTCCTGTCCCCCCTTTCCCTTTTAGTATTCCTACGATGGAATGGAGATCAACAGTCTGCCGGTAGAGCTGACAGTCGTCTGGAATGGGAATTTCAACATTGACAACCCAGCGCAGAACAAAGGTAAGGAATCATTTCAACTTGTCCTTGGAAGTGGTAACCTTAGCAACGGGGCCGCATCACTCCGCTCTCCTCACAAAGCAGTTGCTGCATCCCTTCTCGATCTACCAAGGGGCTTTATTATGTTCTTTGTAAACTGCTAATTTTTTTTTTGTCTCTAGCTCCCGTTCCTTCAGCCTTGTGTTTTGATTCCCCCTTTCTCCCCCTCCCAGTCGTCTTGGCTGGATGAGTAACACGCCTCTGAATGTTATCAATGATTCAACTCTGATCTGTACAAACAACCGGAGGTCTGGTGTTGTCTTGCTCCCTCCCGGGTCTGTTTATATATTTATAGCCTAGGCCCTTTTCTGCAAATCACGGCGCGCCCTGAGCGGTTTGCCTTTTCCAAAGCACACCTTGTAATAATATCATGATGGATAAGGCTGGACGGAAATGCCTCTCCGTGCTTTCCTCCGCCTCGGTTCCGTAAGATGGGCAACGATGCTTATCTAGACTACAGTTCCATAATGGCCAAGCCTGCAGGGACTGTGGCGATGCTAGCTTGGGGATTCTGGGAATTATAGTCCATAAATGGATCCCCCCTGCATTGACGCCTGTCCTGTTCACAAGTGGCCAAAGATGGATCGATGGTATGGGAGAATTTTGCCAGGGAACCAGACAAAATTTGCCATGCGGGGACAAGACATACTGGGTGCAGTGGAGGTAGTTATTGGAGGCAGTCTTTTGACCACAGTGAATTGAGCCCCTCATTCAGCTTTTAGGAAGACAAATAAGAGAGTATTAGATCAGATCAAGGGTAAGCTAGCCCTAGAAGTGAACATGACTGGACTTAGTCTATTGAAACACAGCATGAGAATGCAAGATTCCCTGGAAAGAACGGTCTGGATGAGGAAGGTTGAAGGCGACAGGAAACAAGAAAAGTCAAATATGAGATACATTGATCTAGCCCTAGAAGTGAACATGACTGGACTTGGTCTATTAAAACACAGCATGAGAATGCAAAATTCCCTGGAAAGAACAGTCTGGATGAGGAAGGTTGAAAGCAACAGGAAAAGAGAAAAAACAAATATGAGATACATTGACTCAATAAAGGAAGCCACAGACCTAAGCCAGGCTGTTAGAGGATCCCAGTGTGGTGTCGTGGACAGAATGATGGACTAGAACTCCAGAAAATAGGGTTTGAATCCTCCCTCAGCCATGGAAACCGACTAGGAGAGTAGAACAGGTAGAACCACTCCATAAATATCTCCTTTACCTTGGAAACCCGGTCAAGATTTCTGTAAGTGGGTTCCAAATTGACAGCACGTGGCAAGAACCAGGAGCAGGCCTCTTAATAACAGACCCTTTTGGAGGTCTTTATTCATAGGGTTACCGTCAAACAGTTAGAAGTGACTTGACAGCAGAGAACAAGAAAACATTTGGTTTGTCTCCACACTCAGAATTGGTCAGAGAGAGAGTGGAAACCCGGTCAAGATTTCTGTAAGTGGGTTCCAAATTGACAGCACGTGGCAAGAACCAGGAGCAGGCCTCTTAATAACAGACCCTTTTGGAGGTCTTTATTCATAGGGTTACCGTCAAACAGTTAGAAGTGACTTGACAGCAGAGAACAAGAAAACATTTGGTTTGTCTCCATGCTCAGAATTGGTCAGAGAGAGAGTTCTTTGTAATACTCATATTATTATTATTTTTAAAAGATCACCCACCATTTTTTTTCATGAGAGCAGAATGGCCCACACAGATTTTTAAAAATCTCTTAAGAGCGCCAACAAAAACAAAATCAAAACAAAGGAAAAAACATCTTGCACTGCGTTGAAAATGCAAGGTTTTCTTTGAAAAGCATAAGAGTTTCTGCACAAAATAAATGTTTTTGCATAAAATAAAAAACACCTGCAAATTTTTCAAGTACCAAAATGCAGTAACAACACACTTCTCATTGCCTAGCTCAAACAGGGTGAAAACGTCTGAGGTTTTTTTCTTTCTTTTCGTTTTCATCTGTTAGAATGAAATAAGCAAAGATCCCCAGGATTTACTTTATAGGATTTCTCTGCACCGAAAGCCTCACAGATTTCAATATGAATCAAGAACGTCTTAGAATAGTTTAGATATTAATCAATGGTTTTAAATAAGAATTTTGAGTTCGTAGCAGCAAACTTTTTCAAGTCCAGTTTTGTAGAAAGGTCTACACAGAGATCCGCTATTACCTTAGAAATTTATAAGTGAATTGGAACAGACAATATTTGTGTTTTGCTGGATGTTGTGATGCAGTTTTCTACTTTAAAAATGTATATATTAAGGAAATAGTTCCCCAAAGTCCACCAAAAAACAAACACTGAAGGGTGTCTTCATATCGATGTTGTTGTTTTTTTCTTGATGAAAATGATGTGAACACTGACCCAAAGAAACAGACAGTCAGGAAGTTAATTAATTAATTACATTTTTTTAAAAAAAAGCAAAGCACTGCGTGCTGCTTATATGCCGCCCCATATTGCTTAAAGCATTCTCTAGGTGTTTTACAATTCATTTATGCAGTCTAAACATTGCTTGCCTATCCCGCTGGATATTTGGTTTACTGACCTCGGAGGGATGGAAGGCAGAGTGAACCTCAACTACTGAGTGAACCTCAAGCCAGCTCCCTGGAGTTGAACGCAGGTCACGAGCAAAGTTTTAGCTGCAGTACTGAAGTTCAACCATTATGCCATGAGGCACTGTATTAATTAAGTAGCAAGCAAGTGCATTTTGGGCATGGTCCAAGAAGCAGGACATAATTTACCAAGCAATGACAACAGGAACCATGAACCATATTAAAGATGAACACTAGACAAGCATAGTAAAAAAGATTCAAACATGATATCTTTTGCTGATGAGGATGGATTGCTTTGATCCCTTCCCTCTCCTTTTGCTAAGCCCCATGGGGCTTAGCACGAAGGGAGAAAGCAGGGATCAACGTGATCCTGCAGTGCTTTGATCCTTCCCCCCCCCCCACTTGCTAAGCCCCACTTAGATTTCTTAATTTTGGGTTAGAAAAGTGGGGGGCGTCTTATACATGGGAGTGTCTTATACACGGAAATATACGGTATGTTAAAATTAAATCCCCCATGTACAACCCAACCAACCCTTCTGCAAATCTGGAATGTGTAGATTTGCATCATCCGATCCTTGTTCACACTTAACTCCTATTCCTCAGACCTTCACACGTAACATTTACTGCCCCCCCATCTCTGCCTATCCTAAAGCCAATTGTGCCCGCTTCTCTGGCGCCAGTGCTGTGGCGGTTTCAGATGCCTCTTCTCTCCAAACAGTCCACCTCTACAAATGCGGAGCCATGCGAGAGAGCTGCGGTTTGTGCCTCAAGGCGGATCCGGACTATGAATGCGGCTGGTGTGAAGATCTGAATCAGTGCACACTTAAACATCACTGCCCGATCGTGGAGAACCGGTGGCTGGAGCTGTCGGCAACGGGGGGCAAGTGCACCAACCCGAAGATCACCGAAGTAAGTCCATCATCGCGTTCGTCCCCTTAGTTTGTGGTTTGGCCTCAGGTGGAATGGCAAGACAGATATTTTCAGGGCTCTGGAGGTTTTGCACAAACACTGTGAGGATGGTTGTCTTCCCCATCTTCTCCATGCTGTAAAAACAAATTACCTAACTTTGAAAAAATTAGTTAATTAACAGTGATTTGAAACTTCCCAAGCTTTGGGGGGAAAAAAACCCAGCAACCTCTGCCAGCAGAGAAGACATGAACAGCAAATTCTAAGGCATGACTAGAGCTTGTTAAACTGGAACCAAGGGCACGGAGTTCGAATCCTCAGGATCCCTCCCGGAAAACGGGCAAGCTACACAGCCCCAGAGGCCCCCCCCCCAAGAAAGCCAGGCTGCTGAAACACATTGGAGTACTTTATACCTGGAAAACCTTGAGAGTGTAATCATAAGTCAAAATAGACTTGATGGCAGATAGTTAATAATAATAACAACTAATAACTAGTTATATCTTAATAATAATAACTCCCTTAAATTGTCCCTGTAACTTAGTGAGCAATAATTTTTGCTCCTTTTGCAACTTTGAGTTACTTTTCTTGTCATGAGGCTGATTGAGGAGAAATATTCTAAGATCCTGGATGGTACTGGATCTTCCCTTGATGCCTTGTGTTCTGCTATGGTGGCTGAATTTATGATGATCCTCAGAGCTAAGGGCTATTTTAGATCTTTTAGGAAAATGGAAAACTAAAGGAGTCCTTATAAAAATATGTTATTAAGTTGTAACTAATTACTTCTGGAGCCTTAGAACTGTAACTGTATTAATTACTTTTTGAAAGTGGCTTTCCAGACTCTTGGGATTTCCTCTACGTAGGCTGTCTTGATCTGAATTTGGATGTACTGTGACCTAAGTGTGTAACACTTTTAAGTTCTCTGGAGCTAGTTACTTACTTAGATGTCTATTGGTGAACCTTACAAACACAATTTCACAAAATAAATCTTTTTATTCACAGATAACATGATCAATTATAACAATGATAAAATGCTACTATTTGTGTGCCCAAGATCTCAGCAACAGCACCAGTACAGAAGTTGCTTGTAGAATTGCAAAGTTCAAGTGTCCGTTTGAATTCAAATGGTGGCAAAAATCCAAGCCATTTTCCACAACTCAGTTGGGTGTCCTTAATGTAGAAGAATCACCTCCACATGCAGAAGTAAAATATCAGTACAGTTGTATGCAATTCATGAATTCACTATGTGGATTCACCCCTCCAACACAAACACCTAAGGATTATATCAAAACCAGGTTGGCAAGGGCCCTACCTGTCTAAGTGTCAACAACAGCTCCAGACATTTCAGCTCTCTTACTCTTTCTGATTCAAAACTCTTACTCCCCGCCCTGCTCTTTCTTAGTCCCGTTCCTTTTGGCTGAACCAATATTTCATAGAGATTGCAAGTGCAGTCTAGGGCAGGGTGTCAAGGTACACCTCACCCTAGTACAAGGATAATCTTGTGGTACAAGGATAATCTTCTGTTTCAACTCTTTCCAGATGATTCCAGATTAAAATAGTCCGAATTGTGGATTGTGAATTCATGCTAGAATCTGGAAAAATTAAGAAGGATGAGCAGATGGCTCCGTGGCCAGAATCCTACTACTTCTGTATGGTGACATGAGCCAAACAGCATAAATTGCCATGCCAAAATGCCACGAGTTAAAGAGTTTGTGCTTGTACTTATTTCCGCGCACCTGCGTCATGACTTGACGTGTGACAAGAAATACAGGCATCAACTTTTTAACTCATGGCAATTTCCTGCTGTGATTTCTGCCATTGAGACAGACCAGCAAATCTAAGTTATAGGCTTCTGATTTGTGTCTCCGAAGCTGCATCCAGGAGTTTAACGGAAGCTGTCGTTCCCGGGCTCTGCCAGGCAATCCCTGATCAAAACGCTGTGTTATGTCATCTCAGCATTTCCCCACAGGAGAGGCTGCCAGAATGTTCAGGTTTTGCAAATATCTCTTTGAAACGTGGATTGTCTTGAAGGAGCCTGGTGACACAACTGCTTAAAAGTTGAAGAAGACGAAGAAAGAAAGAAAGAAAAAAAAGATCTCGGGTTGTGTTTGATTGAAATGTTTACAGTGGTTTTTTTTTTCTTCTGAGAAGCCGTCACCCCAGAATGACATACGAAGGGTAAAAAAAAAATCATCTCTTTTAGCATACTTACTTTCTGGTGGTATAGGTTTTGCAAGAATTTTTAAGACCTGCGAAGACTTTCTGAGCAGAGATATAAGAAGAGAAGGAGAATTAATGCATGCAAATGGATCAAAGTTGGGTGCGAGAGACAGTGAACAGGAGTTTTCAACTTACGAGTAACGATGTACTTATGGCGTAAGGCTGCCATTCCTCAACATCGCTGGAAGGCGTGTTTCCCACAAACCTGCGTCTTGGCACGCCTGTTCACAATCTAGCGGCAAGATGCCACGCAAGACTTGATCACATTCCAGGCTGTCATTGCTAAAGCGGTCTTGATTTTTGGCCGTGCGAACAGTGAAAAGCGTGAAAAAAGGACTTAATTAGTGTGCATGCTAATTAGGATGCATTCACTGCCATGCACATGCCAGTGAGTCCGAACTGGTTGTGATGATGGATCTGGGAAAGAACTGTGGGAGTCAGAGCAGGAGAACTCAATGAGAATTCAACAAGAACATCAGAGGCATTTTGCTGCGGTTTGGTTCACGGCAGGAGCAGGCTGGTTTGCTCTCTACCCCATTCCTCTCCCCAAGTGCACCTCTCTTCTCTTTTCATGTGGATAAAAGTATTCAAGTTTGTATTGGTTCCAGTGAGTATTGATCACTGCAGCTGATCCAAAGCAAATCTTCCAATATAAACTTCCCAATATTGGAAAGGGGCTCAATAAGCGAGACACCTCAATAGATTGTCTGTCTGCCCGTCTGTCTCTCTCTTTGTTTGGTTATTAATTTAATCACTTCCTCTGCTCCTCAAAGGAAATCAACAACAACAACACACACTCTTTATGGTATTGCTGTTAGCTCCTCTAAACCCTGGAGACAGCAAGGTATAAATACAGGTATTTGCCAGTGTCTCATATGTCAGTGTTGAAAATCTGACAGAATTTCTTCAGGAAGCTGTGGTCATCAAGGGTCATTTCATCTGCTGCCTTTCTTTTTTGTTTTAGAGATGGACACGAACGGTCAGTTTGGCGGTTTGTGCCGATTCGGCAGAACGGGTGCTCTGTAGTTCAGCGCCCTGCCTCCTCCAGCAGGCGCCCACTAAGAGGCAGGAATCAGAGGAGGCAGGGCAGGGAAGCCGAGGCGCTGCTTCCGATTGGGCCCCTGCTAGCGGGGTGGGGTGGGGACACACTGAACCACAGAACACCTCGGCATTTTGTGCCCATCTCTCATCTTAAAGCATGGGATTGTGGCCTTCTGATATTTGACTCAATCTCGTCATCGTATTGGTGTTTGTACAATACCGTTGGCATTTCAGGGGCTCCCTGTTACAGAGAGAAAAGCATGATAGGAAATAAAACTTTAAGAAACAAAAAGCCAGGTTTCTACTTTCACCTGACGTCTCCCTGACTTTTCTAAGCCGGAGTTTTGTCCCCCTAGATCAGCCCGGTGAGAGGGCCCCGAGAAGGAGGGACCCGAGTGACCATCCGGGGAGAAAATCTGGGCTTGGAGTTCCGGGACATTGCCAAGAAAGTCAAAGTCGCTGGTGTGGATTGCGAACCCTTGGTAGATGGATACATCCCAGCAGAGCAGTAAGTAAGAGCTGCAGGTCAGAAGATACCCAGCGAAGGGCTTCTGGTTAAAGCACCTTCCCAGGCTGGAAGGTGGGGTGGAAGGCACAGCAACCGATGGTGGGCAGAGTTAAGGGAGAGAGGCAGAACTTCCTCAGGAATTCCCCTGTGCCTTGATTCTGCCTTTCAGCCGCGGAGCAGGAAAATGCACCTTGTTCCCAGTTCAAAGCATGCCTGCTTCCTGCTCCTTCTGTCTTTTCCGTTCCCACTTACACTCTCGTTCCCTATCTATCTGCATCTCAATCCCTAAATTTGATGGGCATAAGAAAAGCTGTAAAAAAGCAACAAACTTTATGAGCGAAATGCAATTTTCCCCCTTTAAAGGATGTCTCAGGTTTTTTTTTTTTTTAATTTCAAAGGATGGATTGCACAGAAGTTTTTGGTTTTTTCTCTCTCTCTTTTTAGTAGGTCTAATAAAAGTATCATCACCGCATTGATTTCGGAGCTTCGTGGGACAGCCGGCGTGGCTCCCTCTGTGTGTTGTATAGTTTTGGTACAGAAATGTTTCATTCCTTTTGCAGAAACCTTGACAGGCGAGAAAGAGCAAATTCCCTTGACTTCATAACAGAATCAAGAAATCATGTTGGGCTTCAGATTTTCCTCCCCAGAGCATCTTGACAAGAACGAGAAATTTAATACGTGTCCTTCATATCGCTCATCTACATGGGGTTGTACTGGCTTCGCTAATAATATGACGTTCACCAACATTGGAATGTCTTTGCTTTACTTCCAGAATAGTGTGTGAGATGGGAGAGGCCAAACCCAGTCAGCATGCGGGAAACGTGGACATCTGTGTGGCCGAGTGTAAGCCGGAGTTCATGGCTAAATCCTCGCAGTTCTATTATTTTACGGTAAGTCGATAAGCTTTGCTTGTAGATCCAGGGTGGGATGACCGAGTCCATTTTTTCAAGCTTCTCGGCACAAAGCATATAAGAATTTTGGGGAAGAAACAGCTTTGCAATTTGAACTGTAGCTGCCTTAAAAAGTAAAGGACATCTACTTATCTCCCATTGTTTTGTTTTGTTTTTTCGCGGCTTTCTGTGTTGCAAGCGATCTTGCTTCTGTTTGGTCATTGTTCACCAAGAGGTGCCCACCAGGGTTTATTTGCTTAGAGGTCTCTGCAAACATGCTCACTAATAAAGAATGCCTTTCTGGAGTTGTTATCATTTTCTGATTGCGAAACGGTTGTCTTTTCCGTTTCTGTCCATGAGACTGGACAGAGCAGGACGGTTCTTGAGCGCAGCTTCTCCTGAAATGCTGAAAGAAACTTAGAAATTCGGAAGGAAAAGAAGTTAGTTGCGCATGACATAGATTTCTTTGAATGGGAGGTGATGGTAACAGCAGAGAAGCCAACCGAAGAAGCTGGGTCACAGCCCTCTGCGCATGTGCCCACCACCCGGTTGATAGGTGGACTCGTGGGCAGAGGCCGTGTGAAGGGAAATCAGGCCTGCTGCATCTGCACATGCGCCTGCCTATCAGTTGGCTGATGGGCGCATGAGCAGAGTCGGCCGCCCAGCTTCCCTGGATAATGCATCCACCCGGTTGATAGGTGGACTCGTGGGCATAGGCTGTGTGAAGGGAAATCAGGCCTGCTGCGTCTCCACATGGCGCCTGCCTATCAGCTGGCCGATGGGCGCAGGAGCAGAGTCGGCCGCCCAGCATCCCTGGATAATGCATTCCAAAATCTGGGAGCAGCCACCAAGAAGGCCCTCTCTCGTGTCCTCGCCAAGTGAGATTGGGAAGGTGGTGGAACCTAGAGAAGGACCTCCCCAGAAGATCTTAAAAGCCAAGAAGACTTACATGGGGTGACACAGTCTTTCAAGTGGCGTGGACCCAAGCTTTATAGGTAATAGCCAGCATTTTGAACTGGACCCAGAAATAGACTGGTAGCCGGTGAAGCTCTTGTCATAAGGGCGTGACATGCTCCTTGTAACTAGGAGTGCAGAGTAAGCCCAGTGAGGAATGGCTGAGGGAGGGAGGCATAGTTAGCCTGGAGAAAAGACAGAGAGGTGGTATTCTCAAATATTTGGAGGGCTGCCACGGGGAAGACGGAGCTTGCTTGTTTTCTGTCGCTCCACCATGTACGGGGAAGACGGAGCTTGCTTGTTTTCTGTAGCTCCGCCACGTAGGACCTAACCGGAGCCCAGGACTCGGATTACGAGAAAGGCGATCTTACAAAGGATGTCCTGACAGTAAGTTCTGTTTAGAAGTAGAACTGGCAAAAGGGGGTCGGTCGTCCTTCGATGGTGTTTTTGAAAACACAGGTTGGATGACCGTGGGTATGGAGTGCTTCGGCTGTTCATTCCCTGCATCCGCCAAAGTTGGGGCTTGATGACCTTTGTGGTACCTCCGTGGTCTATGATTCGACATGCTTGAACCATTCTAGATAAATAGTTAGAGACTGGGGTTCCTTCTCTGCCTTGGTTGATTTAGTTCTCTGTGTAGGGAGGGGGCAGAGAGACCCTGCCAGTATGGCCTTTGGAGATGATAACTTCTGAAACATTAAGCAGCTCATCTAAAGGCATTCTGCTTTGGAGCTAGATCACCTGATCGCCTGATGCAGGATAAGGGAGTTCCCCATGTCCGAAGGAAGCGGGGCCAAAATTTCCTATGGAATAGCCAATGCCTGTTAAATAAATTTGTACGTGTACCCCCATGGTTTGAGAGACTCTACTCTGTTCTCACGGGCGTTTTTCCTGATGGTTGGTTTTCTTTTTCATCCCCAAGGAAAAGGGGGAAGTGTAAATTGTCCATAGGGCTAATTCTGTCGCCTGCGTCTCCACCTTAACTCGGTTTTGATTATGCAGCATAAAATATGCGGCATAACATGGGTGAAGGCAGCTGTGAATCATTAATAAAGCCACCGCAACATTATCACACGCCTGGAAATGAGATTTTAATGATAATGGCTATTAGTATCAAAACACTGCCAGAAATGTCATGCTTTTCTCATTGGAAGGAAATGCAGCAGGACAAGAGTCTGGCGTGCCGAAAAGAGAAAACGGTAAGAATGTTATGGAAAGGCTGTTCTTGAATCGCACCGCTCTAGGTAACGGCTGGCCAGTCTCTCTCGTCTTGCCTTCCTGGAGCAGGTGGTTGGAAAGGTGGGGTGGCCTCCCAGTTCCAAGGTTTCCTAGGTGAGATGGATTGTGTAAATCCATTTCCGTCTGACTGCAGACCTTGTTAGTGAGTAGTCGCAGCCCAGTGAGACAGAACGGGTTGCAGATATCCTTTGGTATTCCATCACAGGCCACAATACCACGGCTCGTGTCTTCAGCTTATTGAGATGTTCTAAGAAGTGTCAGTTTGAAAGCATGGGTGGGGAAAGCTCCGATCCTGCCCTTCTGTCTGTCCCTATCTTCACACAATCAGGAATGCTGATTTTCTGGGAGTCAGTAGCTCGGTGCGTGGCTGCCTAGCTCAGTGAGTTAAGTAGTTGTGGTGGTTTACTCGTTAAGTCGTTACTCGACTCCTTGTGACCCCATGGACCAGAGCACGCCAGGCCCTCCTGTCTTCCACTGTCTCCCGGAGTTGGGTCAAAGTCATCTTGGTCGCTTTGATGACCCTGTCCAGCCATCTCGTCCTCTGGCATCCCCTTCTCCTCTTGCATTCACACTTTCCCAACATCAGGGTCTTTTCCAAGGAGTCTTCTCTTCTCATCAGATGGCCACATTATTGGAGCCTCAGCTTCAGGATCTGTCCTTCGAGGGAGCACTCAGGGTTGATTTCCTTCAAAATGGATAGGTTTGATCTCCTTGCAGTCCAGAGGCCTCTCAAGAGCCTCCTCCAGCACCACAATTCAAAAACATCAATTCTTCGGCGGTCAGCCTTCTTTATGGTCCAGCTCTCACTTCCATACATCACAACGGGAAAAACCGTAGCTTTGACGATGCAGACCTTTGTCGGCAAGGTGATGTCTCTGCTTTTTAAGATGTTGTTGAGGCTAGTGAGTTAAGTACCCAGCTGCAAAACCAGGGGCTGGGAGTTCAATTCTCTAGTCGGACTCCAGCCTAGGTGGCCTTGAGCCAGCTGCACCGTCCCAGGGCACCCCTGGATGAAGCGAATGGTAAGGCACTTTTGAGAAGAGAGGAGGGCCTGGCATGCTCTGGTCCATGGGGTCATGAAGAGTCAGAAACGACTAAATGACTAAACAACAACAACTAACCAGAAAACCCTGAAAAGAATGACTGTAAGTCAGAATTGACGACATACAATTGTTATTACTATAGAGTTTTTTCTAGGCTTAATCTTTGGGATGTAAATGTGGGCTTTTTTTTCTCAGTGTCTCAGACAAGACCAAGAAATTTTCAATTTTTGCTCCTTTTTATCTTCAAGATGGGTGAGAGGTCTCCTCTTGCTCTCAAGTGGAGTTCTCACCTGTTGCAAGATGGTGTAGTGTTTTTAATTTGTGTAAATGGCATAAGTTGCATAAATAACTTAGGTCCTTTTATGGAGAAATACAGGGTAAAAAATTAAATAAACAAATTCTATGTGAGTGCAAGTATTGATAGAAACTATAGTCGCTGGACTTTTCAAGGTAAGAAGCTTAGAATGGGTTTTTTGCATCTTTATGACTCATGACCTACTCCTTTTCTGCTGGCTGAGTGTCTGCTTTGCTTTACAAAGAGAAAGGGCTGTTGGTTTGTGTATAAAGTTTTGTATTCCTGTTGAGAAAATGTCAATTGAAGGACAACAACAGTGACTTCTTGTCTTGTTCTTGTGATGGATTTGAAAAAAAAAAATCCTGATTGGTTAAGAAACTCTCTATAAGCAGCATGGGAGACCATCTCAGTAAGAACAAAGAATTGATCACAGATTGGTCACATCCTTATTCATCGTGAGCAGGAGCGGCTTCTTCTTCTTCTTCTTCTTCTTCTTCTTCTTCCTTCTTCTTCTTCTTCTTCTTCTTCTTCTTCTTCTTCTTCTTCTTCTTCTTCTTCTTCTTCTTCTTCTTCTTCTTCTTCTTCTTTATGGTTCTCCTGGGTTCCACCAGGACAGAGAGAAAGAAGAGAATTTATTTCTAGTTCTCTCCTGCTCCTAAGTAATTACTCCTCCATAAACTGTGTTGATCCTCGGAGGAATGAGCAAATGACCAAATGAGCAGAAGGGAGGGGAGATTTTAGAAAATGCCGTGAATCATCTACAGTATTTAACGATAGAGTCTGTCCATTGTACCTGTTCATTCATTAGGGATTTTAAACCTTTTATACCATTCTTTAAAGTGGAAGGGAGCATGAAGATAAGGTTGCGGGGGGGGCCTTCATTTAAATGCAGATGGTGGCTTTTCACTCGGGACCAAGTGGAAAGTTTTTCTATTAAAATGCTAATGAAAGAAGAAACTACAACTTTAGATTCTCCCCACCCCCACCCCCGAAAACGGGACAATTGCCCACCATGCTTTGGTATCAACTTTGCACTCCTAAATATTGAAAGAAGAAACTACAACTTTAGATTCTCCCCACCCCCACCCCCAAAAAGGGGACAATCGCCCACCATGCTTTGGTATCAAATTTGCACTCCTAAATATGACAGCTTTTACTTTGATTTGTTTCAGGGCAATGAAGAAAGGCACAGATAGATAGATAGATAGATAGATAGACAGACAGACAGACAGACAGACAGATGATAGATGATAGACAGACAGACAGACAGACCGACCGACTGACCGACCGACTGACTGATTGATTGACTGATTGATTGATTGATTTCTAACCTATTTTCTCCCTTGCTCTTTTCTGCAGTATAGATGTCTCTGCAGTGTGGTTTTATCTGTACTCAATGAAAATGATATTTTTTAAATATCACATGTCCTGGTGCTCTTTTCTGCAGTATAGATGTCTCTGCAGTGTGGTTTTATCTGTACTCAATGAAAATGATATTTTTAAAATATCACATGTCCTGGCAGCAGCTAGATTAGCATGGGGACAGGTATGGAAAGAGGGAGACCTGCCAAAAGATGAATTGATTATCAAAAAAATATTAGAGTGTGTAGAAATGGACAGACTAGCAAAGAGACTAAAAGGGCAAGAAAAATCAATTTATTATGAAAGCTGGAACCTATTCTATGAATGGTGGAAAACAAAAGCTTTGTAATAAACATAAAGTAAATGAGTAAAATGAATAACATGGAGAAGATCTTGCTGAAAGAAATGTATTATTATACAAGAATGCTTGTAAGCTAAGCTTTACAGTATGTATTGTTTTTAGAGAGATATATATGCATATATACACACACATATACACACACACACACATACACACACACATTTACATACATACATACAAGATACTGTTTCTTATATATTTGTAAGTTTTATGTTGGGAAAAAAATGGGGGAAAAAAGAAAATGATATATTTTAAAAATGAATTTACTACTGTGGATAAGTCAGCGGCTTAGGTCTCTGGCTGCAGAGCCAGAGATTGGAAGTTTTATCCCCCCCCCCAACTTGTGCCTCCTGGACAGGACCTGGACTCCAAACGGTCCCTTCTAGCTCTGCCTTTCTAAGATTTTTGTTTGGGTGTGCAATCAGCACAAGGGAAAAAAATCATGGCTCACTGCATAAACTGTTTGAAGGCTTCGACATGGGATGATCTGTGACATTAATGATTACGAGTCCCATCCAGCTTGAGTTGGGGAGGCTATGAAAGTTAGTGTGGGTTAGATCTGTGGTTCCCAATCGCGGGTCACCCAGATGTTCTCGGACTGCAACTCCAGAAGCCTTTGCCACCAGATGTGCTGCCCGGGGTATCTGGGAATTGGAGTCCAAGTACCCCTGGGTTTGAAACCACTGGGTTAGAGGATTGCTAACTTTTACAGGAGCAGCCGTTGCCAGCAGGATTCTGGGAACTGGGTTCTAAAACAATCACACACTTCCTCTCTCTGCTCTTGCCTTGCTTGTTTTCCAGGAGGCTCTGGAGGGTCACTCCCAGCTTCAGGCACTCACTGCTGAGTGAACCTTGGCTGGTCCTCTCCAGTTGTGACCCCACCAGCCCCCTCCGTGACCACCCTAGCTGCTCCTGAGACTTCCCTTCCCAAGTGGCCCCTGCCTCTCTGCAGACACACCTATCCGCTGGACGCCAGGCAGGTGGTGGAGGCAGCAGAAACCTTGACCCCTGGAGGGGAAGCCAGACCTCCTGCTTCTGAGAAGGGTCACAACTACCTCTAAGGGGAAGGAGAGAGCCCCCTGAGACCTGCACCCCCTCCATGCACCCCCTGACCCCTCCACAACCCTGTGTCATGAGTTCAGCCAGAGAAAATCTGGAATCTGAGGGGTTAATTACAGCTGAGGAAAATGCTGGGCAATTAGAAGCACAGACAGATGAATCACCACCAGATTCTCCTCCCCCAGTAGCCAGAATGAGAGTTAAGCTTCTGCAAAGACTCGTGACACAAAGGTCAGAGGATCGCATGAATGCTGCCCGCAGAAATATCAGGTCAACCAGTCCTGAATTTTAACAGGATAGAAGGCTTCTAGGAGTTTGATGACTGTTTTGCTATATAATCTGCACCTAGAAGGCTTGGAAGCTTGTGGAAGCAACAAGTCAATACTCTGGCTTGAATCCACACTCTTGCTTATCTTGGACCTTGTTCTCCGGACCCTTGGCTTTGGACTCTGACTTCTGACTACGGTTTGTGTTTTGGCTTTGGCATTTTGGTATCTGCCTTGCATCTTCTGAACTTCTGATATTGGACTGGCTTATTGGACTTTTGCCTGTTGAAACAGCTTGGGAACATGACACCCTACACCCCCCCCTCTGAGATACCCTTCCCTGCTACTGTAAAAACCACACTGCCTTTCAGGTCTGTGCAGACAGAGGGGCCCGGAAGGGAAGCCCCACAGACCCCTTGTTCCCAGAGAAGTTCGTGATCTCTAGGTATGCGCCAGTCTATCAGCTGGTTGATGCACGGGTGGGCGAATGCAGCAGGCAGGCTCTGGGAATGGAAGTCCGGCCTATTGCCTTTGAAGATGATGATGTTGGTGGTGGGGTGCAGAGGTGGGTCCACAGAGACTTGCCAATGGGGACTCGGACAAATGGGTCCAAGTCACAAGTCCCATGCCTGATGGGTGCAGTGGCTTCCTAGCACCATCTCGCTGCAAACAGAGGGACTCCTTGGTACCCCCAAAACATTTGTGCCCAGGGTGACTGCCCCTGTGGGCTCCCCCCCCCCACGCTACACCACGGCTTGGTGGTCCACACCTGTCTGAGCCAGAAAGAGGGCAGGACGGAGTACTGTAAACTTTGTTCTTTACAGGAAAAATGCCATATCCTGTGTAGATTGATCCTCATTCCGTTGAATCCTTCTAGATAACTCATCTGGCAGGGATTGTAATAATTCTCTGCAGCTTGGCATTGCTTTTGTCCTTCCTGGAAGAATCTGGTGCAGGACAGGTGCCGTTTTAGTAAGCATTACGATAATCCTGAGCATCTTAGCTCTTTTTTGTCTGCCCTTTCTGGAAGAATCCTGGGCAGGAAAGATCTTGTTTTGTGCTGGAATTATAATTACTCTGCATGGATTGGCGTTCCTTCTGGACAAAGGACCACAGAACATCCAAGAAAACCCTCAAGATCTCCTGCGAGACTTCTTTGGGGGCAGTGGGGCTAGCCAGAAAAATCTCACAGCAAAGAGAAAAAGATATTTTCCCCCTCTGTTTATCTTTGAGAACAGGAGATGGGGAGAATCACAACCCTTCTGCTAATTCCATTCAAGCTGTTTCTGTTGTCTTTCTCTTTTCCAGACTCTGACGCTTTCCGACCTATATCCGAAGCAAGGGCCCATGTCCGGGGGCACTCAAGTCACCATCACGGGCACCAACCTGAATGCCGGCAGCAACGTCTCAGTGTCGTTGGGTCAGCATCCCTGCCATTTTCACTGGTACATCCCAACGAGCTCCGATATTCTAGGGGACAATTCCCCCGCAAGCTTCGGGGATAAGAAATGCAAAGGAGTGGAAGAGGCGGGAGTAGACTGCAGCTTGATGTTGCGAGAAAGCTTATGTTGGATGAGCACCTCAGTATGCCATCCCTTAGCAGTTAAAATAGACCAGAATTATTCCCTTGTCCCTAGAGGGTGCAAAGGGCCTTTTTAAGTTAACATAAGATGTAGTAAAAGGATTTGGGGTGAGGAACATTGGGGACATATACTTCGAAGATATCTTTTCTATGGGCAACCTTCTGTGCACTTCTGTTTACCCCATATGGTTTGACCATTGGAAGCATCTTTTAATATTCATTGATGGGAATTGTAGGACAATAGTAACCCCCTTATCTGTGGAATCAGTATCCGCGGATTCACTTATCCATGGTGTGGAAATATTAAAAATATTAAAAGAAAAATGCTAGAAATATATATTTCTCAAAGTGAAGTTACAGAACAGGGCACTAGAGGGGGCCAGAGACCATGCTGTGTATAGAATTCACTATTATAATAGTGTTTACAATAATGTGCATTTTTCCAGCATCTCTCAGGGGGTGGGCTTAGAACTGATCCCCCGGAGATACAGAGGTTCTCCTCTATCAGTTTGTCAGGAAAGCAAATAAGTGTGGATACAGGGAAGCAGAAACCCAATAAAACTGATGGCATCTTAAATTCTCCAGATCGCTCAGAAAACGTTTGGCTAAGCTAGTCACCCTTCTTTTGAAGAAACATATTAGCCTTCAGGCCTTGATATGGTATGATCTCTCTGTCCCATTTGCTCTGAAAAATCTCCCTGTGGCGCCCTCCTTTCTCCCCCAAAAATGTTGCTTGTCATAAACAGCATATCCAGGGCCAAGTGACCACCACAGAGGGACACTTTTGGGGGTGAAAGTAGAGTGGTGTCTCGAGCCAGAACGGGTGCACCTTCCCAACTGGGAGTCCCATGCCCTTTTTTTGCCATCAGATAAGATCAATATAATGTGTATAGAGAGGCCTTGGGTCAGCTGGAGAAGAATCATTTCATCTGCGTGAAGCCCAGAGGCGACGGAAACAAGACAGTGGTTGAAATCCACTTGTGTAATACAGTCGTGCCCCGCTTAACGATTACCACGCATTACGACAAATCTGCTTTATGACGAGTCCTAAATCACAATTGCGATTGCAAAACGATGTTTTGAATGGGGTTTTTTTGTTTTGCGAAGATGGGTTCACTGCTTCGGGAACCTATTCTTCGCATTACGATGATCAAAACAGTTGATTGTTGGGTTTCCAGTATGGCCGCCAGGTGCGCAAAATGACTCCCCGGTGTGCTTAGGGACGGATTCCTCACTATACATGCACCAAAAATGGCTGCTGTATGGAGGATCTGTGCTGGGCGGTGAGGTTTTAGCCCATTGGAATGCATTAACCAGGCTTTAATGCGTTTCATTGGGTTTTTTATTTTTGTTTTACGATGTTTTCGCTCTACAGCAATTTTGCTGGAACGAATTAACGTCGTTAAGCAAGGCACCACTATATAAGCAAATGCATCCGTTTTGGTCCAATCCTCTATCAAGAGCCTCAATTCTTGAGGTGACACGCACACCCCAAGGCCGTGGGCGTTCATGCCCCTGAGAATCTCTCTTAGAGGCCTTTATTTACTGTAGAGGAATGGAACTTTTGTCTACAGCAATTTTGCTGGAACGAATTAACGTCGTTAAGCAAGGCACCACTATATAAGCAAATGCATCCGTTTTGGTCCAATCCTCTATCAAGAGCCTCAATTCTTGAGGTGACACGCACACCCCAAGGCCGTGGGCGTTCATGCCCCTGAGAATCTCTCTTAGAGGCCTTTATTTACTGTAGAGGAATGGACTGGAACTTTTGCTCACGTTGCACAACAGAATTTGGGCCCATCTTTCGAGACTTCAAAAGAAGGTGAGTTTGCAACTGTGAAGTACTTCCCCCTGAAACAAATCATAGCCCTTCACTCATTACGGACCCTTGCAAATTTTAAACAGTAGGACTCTCCTAGCCATGGGATCAGTATCCACTGATTCATTTATCTGCTGCCAGAAAGTACTAAATTAAAAAACCCCAGAAATAGGTATTTGTCTGTATTTCCAGGGTGTATTAACCAGGACTGGTCCACGGTAACTGCAGGGGAGAAGTCCCAAACCTGCCCACCCCGTGGATGCTGAAAAACATGGAAGTAGCAAACTCTATACATTAGATCAATGGTCCCCAACCTTGGGCCTCCAGATGTTGGTGGACTTCAACTCCCAGAAATCCTGGCCAGCAGAGGTGGTGGTGAAGGCTCCTGGGAGTTGTAGTCCACGAAAATCTGGAGGCCCAAGGTTGGGGACCATTGATCTAATGTATAGAGTTTGCTACTTCCATGTTTTTCAGCATCCACGGGGTGGGCAGGTTTGGGACTTCTCCCCTGCAGTTACCGTGGTCCTAGTATATTATGATAAGGGTGCCCAAGTTCAAATGGAAAAGGCAGCCAACCTCATCCAATAAGTTTGCATGGTCTAAAATGGAACAGAAGCCCCATCTCAGTTCTTCTCCTGCTGGTCCAGGTTCATCTTAATTCCTTTTCCTGCCAGGAGATCTGCCAAATACATTGTCTGCAATACCACAGCGTTCAGCAATGGGCTGGAGAAGAACGTGGTGGACGTGACTGTGAAGGTGGATAAAGCCACACTACGTAAAGAGCAGGAGAAGACCAAGTCACATAAGGAACTGAAGTTTAAGTATGTGGAAGATCCGACCATCTTGAGGATTGAACCGGAATGGAGCATCGTCAGGTAAATAATGTTATTAGGAAGACCTGCTTTTAGTGGGCCAGGCTGGTATGGAGAACCGTTGCTAGGTATCCACAGGATCTGCCCTATGTTGGGCAGAGTGGTGAGAAATTAATGTGGCTTAAGAAACTTCCTAATTATGCAGTGAATAAAAGTCTGGGCAGGGTCCTACAGAGCATATTGGTTTCACATCTCCCCACACTAGACCTTCGCTTGTTTGATTGGTTTGCCTCAACTGGCACTTACTGTCTCGATCATTCACTTAGAGACACTGGTAAGGAGAAAGAATAAAAGTGTTCTGTTTACTTACAGTTCTTCATATATAAAAATGAACAGCACATTGTGTGGAAATGTATGAACTGGTTAAGCTTAGCTTACAGGTTAACTAGCTTCATGACCGAACCACATTTCTCTAGCCGTCCTCACAGTGCATTAATAAACATTTCTGACCGGAAAAAGGCGGGAAAACAAAACTTAGATCGAAAGGCATGACGCTCTTCAAAAGTCTGATGTATTGGGAACAATGGGCTGCTACTTGATTTATTGACATTAACTGCAGCACTCTCCCAGCCAAAACCTTTTAAAGGCATCCTATGTAGGTTGCCAATAATATAATGTCAGATTCATACAGTAGTCTCCCCCCCACACACACACACTAACCAGTGGCGGGAATGAAGATGTAAACAGCAATTGCCATTTTTTCTTGGCTAAAAGAAATCCCCAGTGTTTTGATAATTGAGACACGTACTGGGGGAAAAGGCGGGGGATGGTGGTTTCAAGTGATGTGAGATTTTTCAGTCCTGCAGGGGAATGAAAAAATCATCACCCTTTTTGCAAAAAAAGAAATGATAGTTTTTACATGAAAACCGATGTCTCCATTTAAAAAGTTGCATTTTGCACAGTTCTAAGACGGTGGTTATTGTCAACAGTGTTTTTTTCCCTTGCACTTTCCAGCCAGAGGGAAGGGTCTCTCTCTCTCATGTTTAAGCCCTGTAGTCTTCTTTAAAATCCCTTGTTTTAAATTGAGCACTCAGGGATCTTAGAACCAAGGCTCACTTCAGAGAAAACCTGCTACGTACAGCCTTCTGTGAATTCTCTGGACCTGTCTGTCAAAGCCGGAGAAGGCTCTCTCCCCTCCACCCAGCTTAATAGATTTGTGTCTCAAAATGAGTTTTCAGGTTGTCAGAAGGGAAAGCTACCTTTGCTAGCTTGTCCAGGGATCAAGGATTTTGAGTTCCTTTCCTCCTTTTTTTTTTAAAAAAAATCATTTTATTTATTTAAAATATCTTTATCTCGCCTTTCTCCATAGAAAGGACCCGGCTTGTCTTTGAAAGACAATTATTTAAAGCTGAAGCCATCAATATACAATGGTGGTTTTTCTCCAAAAAAAAGGCAATTGTATTACTGACCTGGGCGTGATATTCTAGGCATTGTTGATGGAGAACCTCCCGCTCTCTGGATTGCAGAAGGACTGGAAGGATATGTACATTGCACCACGCCTGCCAGCGAAGAGAGAAATTGATCATTAGAGGTTCATGAATTCCTTTCAGGGGAGTTTAAAAATGAAAAGGACCCCTCTTCTCTCTTGTCTATACAGAACGAATTGGGAGTTTTGCTGGAAAACTAAAGTCATTGGCAGACCTGGGGGTTAGAAAGACGGCCGGTCCATTTACCCGCGGCTATCCTCCAGCCATCCAGTCATAGTCTGCAGGTGCTTTTTTTGCAAATCAATTAGTCACCTTAATTATTTGCAAGGCATTTAAAAAGGTTAAGATTAATTCAGCATCAATACGGTTGGGATCAAAAGATGAAATTGCTGGACTTCCCATGAGGAGGGGCAGGAATGGAAAAGAGATGACTCAATTCACTCTGGCGCTTCTATTAGGAGGTGGTAGAGGGTGCTTTTCCATCCGTCTCCGTGCAGGTTATGCTGTGGGTGTCTCATGGACCAGGATGGGCAGGCTGCCTTTCCCCAAGACTAGTGGGAGCCCTCTGCCCCAATCATGAGCAAAGCCCCATTCCTCTTCCGGAACAGCGCTGAGTATTGCTAAGGGACACACAACCCTTCCCCTCTATCTGTTCAAAGTCAGGGAAACCTCCCCAGATCCCATGAAAAATATTCTTATTTCCCAACACTTTTTACTCTACTGTTACATGTTAGCTTGTCATTAACAGCTATATTCTGAATTTTGTTATGCCATTCACTTAATTGAAAACTATACTTTTACTTTCCAGTTCTCTGCTGTCACTAATCTTGCCGCTTATCACCACAATACACCCACAACAAAAAACACGCTGATATATATATATATATAGAGAGAGAGAGATTGGATCCTAATCCAGGCTTCTGATTTAAGGCATCCTGTATCTAGCCTTATCCTTGCATTTGACACACATCTTGGGACCTGGAGTATAGTTCTTAGAAATCTGGATTGAACTGTTTCTTGTGATACAAAGTGAGAGATGGGTGGCCCCATCAATGAGCCGTACAGCAGCTGAGCTAAATCCTTTGCTTTATAGAGTTTGAGGTCTGCTGGTATAAAGGACCCTCCTTGGGAGCGATGGAATTTTACTATACTATTTGCCGATCTTTCTCCCTGATCTGCTGCACATTTACAATGCTGAAGCCTAGATCCCGAGGCCTGTAGTACTACCCCCAGATATTTCAAGCTGTTCACCTGCTCGATACTGTGTCCATTTATCTGCCATGACTGAATCTTGGGTCTCTGTCCAAAGGTGACTATCTTGGTCTTCTGATAGTTAATAGTTAGGGATTTATATTCACAGTATGAGGCAAGCTTCTTAAGTGCCCTCCTCAGCCCTACGAAGGCTCTGGATAGAATGACTGCATCATCAGCACAGAGCAGTGATGGTGAACCATTTTGAGCCCGAGTGCCCAAACTGCAACACAAAATCAACTTATTTATTTCAAAGTGCCAATACTGCAATTAAAACCTGAATGCTGAGGTTTTAGTTTAGAAAAACAACAACTGCTCCTGCGCTGCAAGGGTTAAATGCTTGGGTTCCCCTCTGCTCCTGCGCTGCAAGGGTTAAATGCTTCCCCATCCCCACATGGGCAGTATTAACAAATAAATACTTACCAGTTCTCCAATCCCCCATTGGGTTAGACCGGTAATGGTCGCTATTGCACCCCTCCGCTGGACCACTGCACCTGCCGAAATCCGGGATCGGAGTATGGGTAAGTATTTCTCTATGGTGACTTATTGCTCGTGTGCCCACAGAGAGGGCTCTGTGTGCCAGCTGTGGCATGCGTGCCATAGGTTTGCCATCACTGGCATAAAGTAAGGCTGGCACTGTTCTATCTACAAGCTTAGGAGAATGGAGATCAGTGGTGTTAAGCCAGCTTGATAAATCGTTTATATAAAGGATGAATAAAGCCGGTGCCAGTAGGCAGCCTTGCCTAACACCTCTGTGCATTTGCACAGATTCCGTGAGGTGTCCTTGTCTGCTGCACTTGACTTCAAGTATGTGTCTTCGTGTAGAGCCCTGATGAGATATAAAAGTATTTTGTTTATAGATGAGTTTGTTAATTTGTCCCAGAGGTGTGTTCTCGATATAGAATCGAATGCTGATTCAAAATCCACAAAGGCAGCATAGAGTGATGTTACTCTGCATGTAGGAGGTTGTTGAGATTTCTTCCAGCAATCTATCTTTTTAACCTGTGTGCACAACAAACAACCGTCAGTTGCTTCCCGTCTGTGTCATTTTCACTTCACAGGACCCACCGTTCAAAATAAACTGAAACATGGATCTCCAAAAGAAACCAGTACTTTGTCTTGTATGTCTATCTGTGTTGTCTGTGGAAGTTAGAATTATTAACCTGTAATGGAATTCCACATTTCAAATTGCAGCTTGACTGATTGCAGAAATGCGTGTCTTAGAGTTGCAGGAACCGATGTGACATTCCTCCTGCATGTTGTGTATCAAACTGCAGAAATACCAGAGCCTTCCTATGGATCGACATGTGCCAAGCAGATGAACACAACCAAGAGAACTCAAGGACCAATGCCAGAAAAAATATCAGCCTCTTAAAATATTTCGGCCCTTACTTAAAGGGTCCCGTCTTTCATTCTGGGTCCATATACAGAGGATTGGTTGAGATATACATATATGCATTCCTAGCTGATATTTCTATTCTTTTTTTCTTCTCTGTCAGTGGGAATACACCCATTACAGTGTGGGGGACTAACCTGGACCTCATCCAGAATCCTCAGATCCGGGCCAAATACGGTGGGAAAGAACATATCAATGTGAGTATGAAAGCTGGTTAAGTAGATATAAGCAGCTCAGAAAGGAGAGAGTTTGGGACTGAACTAGCCAGTAGTGAGCTGGTTTGGGTCTACCTCCTCCACACCAACACCTCACGGAACTATGACCCTGTTCAGACATTCAGTTGCCTCCATGATCAAGGACTCTGGGACTAAGTTCTTAAAGTAAGCATTTGAGCTGGGAAGCCTTCTTGTCTTGAAAATGTTGTTTGGGGAGGATAAGTCTTAATATCTCCAAGCTAGTGTTATCAACAATATTATTTACAACAATCATAGAATCACAAAGTCAGAAGGAGCCTGTAAGGTCATTGAGTCCAACCCCCTGCTCAGTACAGGTACACACATTAAAGGGTATCTGCCAGGTGGCTGTCTAAATTTCTCTTGAATGCCTCCAGTGTTGGAGCACTCACCACTTCTCTAGGTAATTGGTTCCACTGTCATATTGCTCTAATAGTTAGGAGGTTTTTCCTGTTGTTCAACCGAAATCTGGCTTCCTGTAACTTGAGCATAACAGAAGAACCCAAGATGAGCCCTGCTGGATCAGGCCAAGGGCCGCTCTAGTTCAGCTCCCTGTATCTCCCAGTGGCCCCACCAGATGCCTCTGGGAGCCCACAAGATCCCTTTCTCCTGATCCCCCTCCCCTGCATCTGGTCTTTGGAGGTCCCTTCCTTCTAAGCCTGGAGATGACACATCCCCATCATGGCTTGTCACCTGCGATGGACTTTTCCCTCCAGGAATCTGGCCAGTCCCCTTTGAAAGGCATCTAGGCCAGAGGCCATCACCACATCCTGTGGCAGGGAGTTCCACAAACTAATATGTTGGATAGAGAATGAGCCCATTGTTGCATGTCCTGCACTCTGGGCATGCTTGGTGGTGGGTCTAAATCCTGCAGGGAACCCATTGTTGCATGTCCTGCACTCTGGGAATGCTTGGTGGGGGGGGGTCTAAATCCTGCAGGGAAAACTAGACATGTAGAGATGACTATCCAACTGGAAATGTTTTTCTCCAGCTAGTACAAATATCAGGGACAGCCACTGGCTGAAGAGAATATTGAGCTAAGTGTTTGATTGGAGCCACCCTGCCTCCTTTGATGTTTTTATATAAGCTGGTCCAAGAGGATCTGTCTCATTCAACAGCCTGTTCAAGCAAGGGTCACACAGTTGCCAATGGGAGGTTTACCAGGAGGACATGAGTACCACTGTACTCTTCAGCTCATCTTCTCCAACAGCTGAGATGCAGAGAAATCCTAGTGATAATATAAAACTGTCCTGTTTAGGAGCCATTGCTCTTTTTAACAACATCCATGAGTTTATCTAGTCCCCTTGTAAAGCCATCCAAGCTAGCCACTGTCACTACATCTTGTGGTGATGAATTCTACTATTTAACTCTCTATATTGTGAAATATCTCTTTTTTTCTGCCTGGATATCCCATAATTCAGCTTTCACAAATGACTCCTCTGGGTTTTTGGATTATGGGAAAGGAATAAAAGCTTGCCTGTAGCTACTCACTGTACACCTACCAGTATGAAACTCAGAGTCTCTTGCTGTCAGGGAGAAACCAAGAAGAAAATAAAGAAATGTTGCTCCTTCCAGCAATATTTCTCTGCGCAGAACCTTTGTTTTCCAGAGAAATTTTCTGGGAAATCACATAGGATTTCTCAGTGGTTTCATAGCCATTCCTCCCCTGAAAAGCTGCACAGGATTATTATTAAAATTCCTATGTAATGTATTTCCTGTGCAAAACTTCCTTGGAAATGGCAAAAGAAACAAGTGACACAGCATTTTCACAATTCCTGAGCAGGATGTCATCTCTCTGGTGAATCCTGCACAGGATGAGATGCCATCCTATGCAGGACTCTAAGGATGCACTTTTAGCACATTAAACGGTACAGTGGAAACCAGGGAGAGGAGGGAAAATGAGACCAGGTTTCATTTTTCACTGAAACTGGGGAAGATAACTGATGGGGGAAATCTAAGTGGAGAGTCTTAACAAGGTGAAACTCAGGAAATTTTCAAGAATGGGAACATTCTTGTATAAAAAGTGTTGTGGATTGTATCCCTGATCTGTCATATCTCCCCTAGCTTTATTTTTTCTCAGCTAAACAGTTTCAAACAGAGTCAACTTTCCTAACAAGGAGGTTGTGTCGCTCCTTCAATCACTTTGGTTACCCACTCCCATCTTTTCCAGTTGTTCAGTGTCTGACTTGGTTCCGCATTTACTGTGTCCTCCGGGATGGGGTTCGGGCAAAATATAGGCCCAATTCGAGGCAACAGAATATGAGTTGTCCATCTTTTTTATTTACCCCATTGGCAACAACAACAAGGAAAATCTCACCCATCAATGGTTCACTTTGAGGGGCCTGTTTCCTCCAAACAAGTCATGTGGATTGTGGTGGCTAGAGATGGGCACAAATTGATTCGGCACCACTTTGTCAAAATTCTGTAGTCACCATAGAATGGACCATGCCTTGTCCACCGTGCTTTGCTTGGGCTTCCCTTCCCTGCCTCCTCTGACAGCCAACCACACAAAGGCTGTGCATCAAAAATGCCCGCCACGCCTCTTTTTCTGAGTGGTCGACTGCTGGAGGAGGCTGGGATGAAAAGCTCGAGCTCCCACCCAGACTGGACAGCCGTTCAAGAAGGAGCATCCAGGTGGTGCACGCCAGATTGTGAGTGGAGCAGCTGGCCAGGGAGTAGGGGGGAGGGAACACGCAGCACCTGTGGTGCCGTGTGTATGAAGTACAATGAAGCGGACCACATCAGTTTGTGTCCATCTCTAGCGGTGGCCATGGAGGCAGCCAGAGCTGCTACCACACGGGTCCCATACCTTGCCCACCATGCCTTGATCTGAGAAGGAACCCCACAGAAGGAACGAAGGTGCTAGAAGGGGACCATTAAGTCTCATGTTTGCTGTTTCCCGGCTGTGGCTTTTCTTGCCCTAGGAAAAGAGCCACCTGGGCTCTTGGGAGAAGCTGTCTAATACTTCACTGAATATTCCTTCCCTTGGTGCAAGGCAGTGGTTCTGCCAGATGCTCTGGAAAGACAAAACCAAGAGCCCAAAGCAACTAAGTAAAGCAGCTTACAAGTAAAACCCCATAAGAATCAGCAGCCCAGCGGGCATGACCTTCTCGGTTCAGTTGTAAAATAGCTATTTTTTTAAAGCCATGTTGTTGTATGACTGTCCTTTTTTTTCACTGTAGGGAAATGGTTGCCACGAACTTGTAAACAATGTATTATTGTCTGGGATGATGATCTGATGTATCCGGTAATAGATGCTGACTCACTTTTATCTTGGTTGGGTATTGATTTGAACCGTGTTTATGAGATCTCAGCCAGCGTCATTGCCTCGTTTTGCTTTCGGGCTGGTGAATATTTCCATGGTCTGTCCTTAGCGTGACCTGATTATTTGTGGAAAAATTGGACCAGGTGATCATTTCAAAGCACTGACTTGTTTCCTGCTTCAGGAAATGCTGCAGAAGATGCTCGGCAACAGTGGAGTAGATGTGAGGGAAACACACCCCGTTATGTTAATGGTAGATGGTCCCCCGGGCATCGGAGCAAAGGGTATGATCCACAACTACCCCCATGTGCTGCCTGAGACAGTGTTCTCATTGTCCCTTCTGAGAGAACAAGCTCTGCTTAGAAAAAGATTTTTAAAGGAAGCATTTAATGTTGTGCTGTTTTATCCCTAGAGCCCAAGGTGATGGTAGTTTTGAAAGCTAGTGGCATAAAATTATGATGGACATCTCTCTCTATCTAATACTGTATCCCTTCCATGCCTCCTCTGGCAGCCAACCACTCAAAGGCTGTGCGGCAAAAATCCCCGCCCTGCCTCCTTTCCTGAGTGGTCAGCTGCTGGAGGAGGCGGGGATGGGAAGCTCGAGCTCCCACCCAAACGGGACAACCACCCAAGAAGGAGCACCCAGGCGGTGCATGCCGGATTCTGAGCTTAATGGCAGGGATGAGGGCTTGAGCTGTAGGATCCATTGTGAAATCGTATTTAAGTCGTACCGGCGACTTGACTCGGACTGAACTCAGGATTTTTCTTCCTCAACTCCCAACTGGGAACCCACCCACCCTCTGTGGCTTTTTCCCCCCCGGGGAAAAAAGCTTGCCTCAGGTTGGATCCAAAATGGTAGCTAACAGCTTTAATCCCAGGCATGTCGTTCCCTCCAAATACTGCCAGGCCTGGTAAGCCAGGCACCTTCCTATCAATGGATCTGGACCCATTTTAAACCAGAGCTGAGGCACAGAAAGCCATTCTCGTCGTGACTCTCTGTGCTGCTGCTTTCTGATAGTATTATTTCCAAGTAAATAACCTGCCTTTTCAAATATAGGCCAATAATTAGGGTCCTTCAGCGGCAGGAAAAGAACATTTTCCCAGACATCTGACAGAGCAGATCAACAAAATGAAGTGGTTTTCATTGCCCGCACGAGGAAGAAATGACATAAAAGGAAGATAAGACGAGGAAACGGCAGCGGCGTACCTGTAAGCCGAAGCTTTTCTGTGGCATGAAATAAGTTCAAAATAGGCCACGTGCGTGGGAAGGTCATCGCAGGATCCTCTCTCTGCCATCACGTACGCTCATAATCCGGTGAATGAGATGGATCAGAAATCATGAAAGGCTACCCTATATATTTCGATTTAGAAGGGTGGCTGGTTTTGGCAAGTCCAGGGGACCAGGTGGGGGGCACATAAACTGCCCAAATGTCCCATCATTCCAAAACGGAAAGAAAGAACAAAGGATTTCAATGGGATGAAATCCATACCCAGCTCTGAAACATGGGGATATTAGGGTGTTACACCATCTGACGTGGTCTAGGACCTATCTAAAGGGCTCATGGCTTGGCCTTCAGGCATCCAGACATGGTATCGTGCTGTTCTTTTGATAGAAGAATACTCTTTGGGGGGGGGGAGGCACACTTTGTATCCCTGACTGGGAAGTCGAGCCTATTGAGTTCAATGAGGCTGGCTCCTTGTATGCGTCTATGGCAACGTTTCTCCCTCCTGATGTCCCTGGAAATGTGTTGCACTACAACTCCTATCATTATCATGTTTTCAGGGCATGATGGCATTTCTAGCCCGTTGCCTCTTCAAGGGATTACCTTCTGAGGGAGGTTTGATGACGATAACTGTGTGCAGTCCAGTCGATTCTGAGTTCCTTGCCAGGGTTTCCTAGGGATAAAGTATGCAAAAATGGTTTCCCATTCTTCTGGGGTTGCTCTGGGAGTGTGCAGCTTGCCCAAGGTCACCCAGGCTGGCTCCACAGCCAGGTGCTTCTCCTCACTGAGCTATTGTATGAGGTCTGGAATGGTAGGAGATCTCCTGCCTTGGGCAGGAGGTTACATAGAAGACCTCCAAGGTCCCTTCCAACCCTACGACAATTCTATGATTCTATTCAACCCTATTGTTTTACATGCCGTTATGCGTTTCCTTTGTTTTTTTCTTGATGGGATTCCCTTAGACCTTCATCCAAACTGTAATTGTCCCTCTTCCCCCATGAATGAACCGTTCAGGTTTGTGAAGTGCAGAACGACACGGAGATGATCTGCCAAGCACCAGCCCTAGCGGTGGATCCCAATAACCAGTCTGATCTGACCGAGCGTCCAGACGAGTTTGGCTTCATCTTGGACAACGTCCACGCCTTGCTGATCCTCAACAAAACCAACTTCACCTACTACCCAAATCCTGTCTTTGAGGCTTTCAACCCCTCTGGGATTTTGGAGCTGAAACCAGGAACTCCTGTTATTTTAAAGGTACACACAGGGAAAACTGATGGTTCTGGGTAGATTTTAGCCTTTACCAACCATGTTCAAGTTCTTTCCAAATTAACTGTAGGGGTGGGTGAATTCATTTTGCCTTTATTTGGAAAATACATTGATTTTTTTTCCCCAAGTAGTCTCAGAAATGCTTGGAAAAGCCTTTTGTCTTTCTTTTGCTTTTCCAAGGAAGTAGAGGGGGAAGTCAAGTGTAGAGATTTGCTCCAGTTCTTCCTGCCAACAAACATAACTTTGTGAAGACATGAGACAATCAGCAGAAGCTTATTGAATTCAATAGGTCCTTTTAGACCTCAGAGCTAATAGAGTCGTTTCCAACAATGTGTAGAGTTCTCTATCTCTCGATTACTTCTGTGTTGAGAGGGATTAGAAAACTGCATATCTTTTGAGGCTCAGCAGGACATGATGGCCCTGAGAACTGCCTGATTCAGAACTTGGAGAAGTTGCCGTATTTTTCCACGTATAAGACTTTACTTTTGTCTAAAATCTTTAGAATAAAAATTGGGGGTCATCTTATACATGGCAGTAAGCTGAGGAGAGAACAAAAATAAGTGGAAGGGAAAGCAGGGATCAAAGTGATCCTGCAGGGCTTTGATCCCTTTCCCTCTACACTTGCTAAGTCCCACTTAGATTTCTTACTTTTGGATTAGAAAAGTGGGGGGCGTCTTATACATGGGGGGGTCTTATACACAGAAAAATATGGCACTTTTTTGGACTTCGCTGTCCAGACGTCTGCCAGACGGTGTGACCAGTGGCTGCTTTGATCCTACAAGAGATACATGAATGAGCAAACTCGTCAAGGGTCTCTGATTTCGACCTCAATGCCCATTCCAATGTGCATCTGTGTCAGACTGCAACCCTTCCTACTCTCCACATTGTTGGTGTGTGTTTCCATGAACTAAAAAAATGTACATGGAACAGAAATCATGTTAGTCTTCCGGAGACGTATTTAGAGAGCAACCCTTCCTACTCTCCACATTGTTGGTGTGCGTTTCCATGAACTAAAAAGAATGTACATGGAACACAAATCATGTTAGTCTTCCAGAGATGTATTTAGAGAGCCTTTCATGATTGAGAAGTCATAGTTGCACACAAGAAATGTGTTTAATGCCCTTAAGACCAAATATGAAAGCAAGCAAACTCCTCCTGCAACCATCACACACAAATCAGCACTTAAGAAACACCCTTTTCTAATGATGGGTTATCTGAAATGTATAGTTCAGGCCTGTGCTATATCCATCTGTTCCTTTCTGTGACTTTGTTTCTCTCGATGCAGGGGAAGAACCTGATCCCACCGGTGGCAGGAGGGAACGTCAAACTGAATTATACAGTGCTGGTCGGCGAAAAGCCCTGTGTGGTCACTGTTTCGGACGTGCAGCTGCTGTGTGAGTCCCCGAATCTCACAGGGCGGCATAAAGTGATGGTGAGCAATGAGCGACGTTTAAACGTACAGCGGAGCAAAAAAAAATGACTACGGTTCTTCTCAAATAAAAGTTTAATTACAGGGATGTCATTACTACCCATCAAGTAGCAAAAATTTGTCCTGGCAGCAAAGAAGATTCGTGCCAAGCATGAATAACCCTAAAGAAGAAGGGACGTTTTAAGTGAAATTGTGATTTGACAGTGCAACGCATGTTTGATGCTGTCATTGATATATTGCAATGACCTATGGTTTTAAGCAATCAATCAAGAAATTAAAGTAAAGTAAATAAAAGCTGGATTCTGAGAAAATCATGTTCATGGGACACTGCCTATTTTCTCTTCTTCTATGAAAGACATTTGCTGGCTTTGACAAATTTTTTCCAGTTCTGTTTGTGGCAAATAGAGATGGGCAAGACCTTGAAAAATGATAGTTTGTGGTTTGTGGAGAATGAGTGCAGGGAAATCGCCCCAGAGGGAGACCACAGCTGCGATACTAGGAGATCTGCAAGCGGGATCTCCTAGTAGGTCTTAGGAATGGACCTCAACCGATAGGAAACCTTGACCTCTGAGCGTTCAGCCTGGAGGCAGGCATTGCATCACGGCCTCTCCCAATTTGAAGAGACCCTTGTCCAGCAGGCCGAGGCAAAGAGGCAGTCCCGAAACGGCAAACTCAGGGAACTGGACAAGGGGCAGATTGTGTTTGTTTTCAGTGTGGAAGGGATGGTCACTCCCGTATTGGCCTTCTCAGCCACACTAGATGCTGTTCCAAGACCTCCATTCAGAGCATGTTTCGTTTTCAGTTCTTGCTTGGTGGGAAAGGGGTTAGCTGCTCCTGTCACACCACCATATGGGTGCCACAGCTGCACTACTAGCACTGCCATGATCAAGAGCCCGTACACTGGCTCTGTGCAGGCAACCATACCCCAACTGATCGCCTTGATCCGCTAGGAGGCGGGGGCGTGTGCAGAAGGTGGCAACCGGCTTCCCTTCTGGGAGTCTGGGCACTGCTTCTCCACAGGCACCCAGTCTCCTGCCGATCCCCTCAATCAGCTGGACTGGAGTCACAGGCTCTGCTCTTGGAAAGGGAGCCAACCTGCTTTCCCTGACGATAGGGGCCAAGTCAGTTGGGAGAGCAGGTAGGAAGCAACTGGGGCAGTGGGAAGGGGGAACGGGTGGGTATATCCATTTTGCCAAAGCAAAATGAAGTGCGGAGGGGAAAAAAAAGTTTGGTGCTTCCTTTTGGCAAATCAGGATCCCTGAACTGCGTCGCAAACCGAACCATGGACCAAAGTTTGCCAGCTTTTCTGGTTTGAAGTTCAGTTTGTGCAATGAGTCCAAACCTTGCCTGCTTCCATAAAAGCGATGCTCCAAAAACTGCGAGTCTGATTCTGCCACTCCTCTGGCTCCTTCATTTTCAGCAAGTGTTCCTCGGAACCAGAAACTTTGTTCTGCTGGTTTATTGTGAAAGTAGAGAAGTTTGAATATTTTTCAGCCACCGTCAGATTCTGTGCTCGGCAAGGAATTTTTTGAGCTCGCCCCCTTTTTTTCCCCTCCCCTCCTTCCTCTCCTGCAGGCTCGCGTCGGAGGGACAGAGTTCTCCCCAGGAATCGTGAACATCTCCCCGGACAGTCCACTCAGCCTTCCCGCCATTGTGGGGATTGCCGTGGCAGGCGGGCTGCTCATCATCTTCATTGTGGCCGTGCTCATTGCTTACAAGCGCAAATCGCGGGAAAGCGACCTCACACTCAAACGTCTCCAGATGCAAATGGACAACCTGGAGTCCCGAGTAGCCTTGGAGTGCAAAGAAGGTACTTCAGATGGGAAAGGGGTCAGGAGGATGCAGAGAACCTCTCTGTTGTATGGGGTGCATACGTGTGTGTAGACATGGTATGTCTGCATGTCTGCAAATCTCACTGCCTTCTTGAATAGATTAGAATCATAGAATAGAACAGAATCATCGTAGGGGTGGAAGGGTCCTTGAAGGTCTTCTAGTCCAACCCCCTGCCCAAAGCAGGAGACCTCAGACCATTCCAGACAGATGACTATCCAATCTTTTCTTGAAAACCTCCAGCAATTTTTTTTCCAAAGGGTATCTCAATGTGAAAAGACATTCTTTTTTGCTGCAGACAAGAATCAACGTGGATAGCTACATCCTTACTGAGAATGATGTTTTGTCCCAAATTGCTCATATTTGTACAGAACTGCCCAGTTTGTCCTAAATTGGGATGACTGCTGCTTTTTTTTTTAAGAATGTGAAGCCCTGGATGGGTTTCTTGCATCTTTCTTCACAATGTGCCCAATTTACCTTCTCTCTGTGCATGCACTTTGCTTTTGAACTGAAAAGTTCACAGCAATTTGGAAACAATTTGGTTTCAGCTATAGGAGTGAACTTTCACAGATCTCAGAAATTCCTTTCCAAGAGGTCTCCTCATGTTGAGACCCCCTCAATCAACAGTTGCTTAGACTCACTCCAAGCCTGAGCCAACGAGCCAACAGTCGTAGGTTGGGGTGGGTGAAAGTCCAAAAATGTAACAAATGCAGAAAAGCTCCTCCAGGGAGGGAACTCCTGGAACATTTTCAGAGCAAGGTAAGTGAAGGTTCCCATTCCTAATTCTCACCAGTGTGATTACTTTATCTAGAGCTCCAGGAAATTCCTCACTATCTTTCCTATCCTTTTTCAAAGAGCTCAGAGCAATCGATCATTATAGGAACATTGCTCTAGGTCGAGCTAAGAGGTGTTAGCACAGAGCGCCATAGTGAATTTCATGGCTGAGTTTGTATTGAAGCTCACAACTAGAGATGGGGGTATTTGTATACGAATATGAATATCCACCCCAAAGGTGCAGATAACAAGGGGCTGGCCCCTGGAGCCACACCGACCACTCCTGGCAGAAGGTGGGAGGACGAGCCTCTCTGCCAGGTCGAAGAGTGGCTAATGCATTGCGAGCGCTGGGGTGATAAGAAGGGATTTCGGAGCCCGCAGCAGTGGCAGACAGGTGAGTGGTCGGTCTGGCCCCGTGGGGGGGAGAGGACCCTTGTTATCTGATGGATACCCCTATCTCTACTCACAAGACAGGTGAGTGGTCGGTCTGGCCCCAGGGGGTGGAGGGAGGACCCTTGTTCTCTGCACTTGTGGAGGTATATGGATACCCCTATCTCTACTCACAAGAATTTGGACAATGATGGAGACTCCATCTACCGTAGCATTCTGCAATTCACACCTTGACATTGGCCAGAATCCTATTGTCTTACATGGTTGCGTAAGGGAAAACATGCCTGAAATTATGTTGATTTTCTCTGCTGCCCTTCCTGCGGCCCTGTGTCCATTGGTGGTATAAACATGAGCTGCGTATCTGGCAGAATAACAAACAGAAAGCCAAGGGAAGAAAATACTTGCCTAATGCTAACACACGTGGGTTTCCCCAATACAGCGTTGGCCTCTGAGTGTTTCCTTTTAGGCAATCCAGCTTTGTTCATCTCTTCCCCTACCGCAGCTTTTGCTGAACTACAGACTGACATCCATGAGCTGACCAGTGACCTAGATGGAGCAGGGATCCCATTTCTGGATTACCGGACGTACACCATGCGGGTCCTCTTCCCGGGCATTGAAGACCATCCTGTGCTGAGAGATCTGGAGGTAAGAGGGCTTCTTAAAAAGAACACCTGCCTTCACACTTTCCCAACATCAGGGTCTTTTCCTGGGAATCTTCTCTTCTCATGAGATGGCCAAAGTATTGGAGCCTCAGCTTCAGGATCTGTCCTTCCAGGGAGCACTCAGGATTGATTTCCTTCAGAATGGATAGGTTTGTTCTCCTTGCAGTCCAGGGGACTCTCAAGAGTCTCCTCCAGTACCACAATTCAAATGCATCAGTTCTTTGGTGGTCAGCTTTCTTTATGGTCCAGCTCTCACTTCCATACATCACTACAGGAAAAACCATAGCTTTGACTATGCGGACCTTTGGCGGCAAGGTGATGTCTCTGCTTTTTAAGATGCTGTCTAGGTTTGTTATTGCTTTCCTCCCAAGAAGCAGGCGTCTTTTTATTTCGTGGCTGCTGTCTCCATCTGCAGTCATCATGGAGCCCAAGAAAGTAAAATCTGTCACTGCCTCTATATCTTCCTCTTCTATTTGCCAGGATGTGATGGGACCAGTGGCCATGATCTTCATTTTTTTACGGGTTGGTTTTTTTTTTGAATTTTTTTTATGTTGATGATCATAAATGATCCTTAGCAAAGCAGGATCAAGTTTCAGGGAGAACTCTTTGCTTTCTTGCTTGAAAAAGGGCTTCACGGTCAAAGCCATGGGCCACGGTAATGTCTACAGATATTGGGGATCCTGAGTCAAGTATGCAGGAGTTTCCAATGATGCTGGAGATCCTGGAAAATGCAATTCCTATGACTTCCGGAATCCACTTCTTGGCCAGCGGTGTCACCATCAAAAAGCATTTGTGAATGAAGTTCCTAAAGAAGTGGTGACAGGTGGGGGTGACGCTTGCCATTGTAACGCCTACAAACCACTTTTTATTGCATCAGAGCAGAAGTAATCCAGTGGTGCTCTGGATTGGCAAGATCGGCCGACAGGTCCCATCATCAGTCAGGAGACCCAAAGTATTTTTTCACAAAGTGCAAGATTTCTACATAATATGCAAAGTTCTTCTCTTAGCTTTCTGACAATGTTTTAACACAACAATAAGTTGTGTGTGTGTGTTTTTTTTTTCTGATTTCTTAGTGAACTCAATGTAGGAGGTTGAGCTGAGAGATGATTGCTAGCTCGGAGAGGCCGGAACACTATGCTCTGAGGAATGAGACAGAGTTACCTTTTATTCTATTCCTACCTACAGTCCTTTTAATTTGCCTGCAGATGGTGATTTTCTGTGAATGTGGCTGCTAATCGTTGATGACATTTGTAAATTAGATGTTCCAGTTTGCTATCCCAGTACACTTTCACTGGGGAACCGAGTATGGGGTAGTGGATAGAATGAGAGGCTAGGTCTCTGTAGGCCTGGGTTCAAATCCCTGCTCAGCCATGTAAACTCAGTGGCAGTATGGAACTAGTAAAACCATGCCTAAATTATTCATTCATTCATTCATTCATTCATTCATTCAATTCATTTATTCATTCATTCATTCATTCATTCATTCATTCATTTAACTTATATGCTGTCCACACTACCCAAAGGTCTCTGGGCGGCTTACAACGATCTCACTTAGATATCCAGTGTAGTGTAATGGATAGAGTGATGGGACCAAGACTCTGGAGAAGAGGGTTTGAATTCCCGTTCGGCCATGGAAATTCATTGGGGGAGTGGAACTGGCAAAACCACTCCTGAAATATCTCACTTTCCTAGAAAGCCCCATTAGGACTGCTCTACGTCAGTTCTGACATGATGGCACAGGACACACACGAATGTCGCACTTACCTACAGAACCCTACTAGGGTCACTATACATCGGTTCTGATTCGACGGCACATCCCTAACCCTTTCACTGGTGCTTTCTTGATTTTTCCTCCCTTTACCAAGGTCTACTCCCTGGAAGTCCACAATTCTCTTGTGCAGTGGTAGGTAAGTAGGTAGGCAGGTAGGCAGGTAGGCAGGCAGGTAGGTAGGGAGATGA